GACAGAAGGAACAGCATCGCTGACGAGCTTGAGCATTGTCTTATACTGTGATAGAAGCCGTGTGCAGGCTGGCGAGTATCTCTTCGAGAAAAGTGAGACCATCAACTTAGTATCGTGCATGAACCCATACAAACCACAACGTACTCGCTGGCTGGGATTGAGTCCCTGACATATGCTCTTTCTAGGTAATCAAGAGCAACAATAACACCAAAAAGAGTCGCCTGGGACTCATACTTTTCTCGCTCCGCGTTGGTTGTATATAATCGCACTTCTTCATCGAGTGAGAGAGGCGGAGACATCATAGCGGTCCGAATAGTCACTAGTGACATCGTCACGCCATATGCCGCCACCTCCAAAGTACTGGCCCAACTCAACAAAACAGCTCGAAGAAATTGACATCAGACTAAAATCTGGTGTGTTTTAATTACTAGCCGACATTATTCCGAAGTTCACTGAGGTAGGGACCTACTGGGCGTCGACAATTTAATGATTTAGGCATCATGATGAATGGGCAACATGAATGCTTTTGAAGAAAACCATGGAAATCGGGTGAATACGCTAACATTTACCCCTTACACCCTAAGGTCCCAATGATTCCTTGCTACCTTACTATCATCTTTAGGCGGCTTCAACTCAAGTGTGGAAGGGAATAGCAGTACCGCCAGAGTACTAAGTTTGTTCTCAAATGGGCCTCTGCCTAGCACGTAAGTAGCGTCTGTTCCAAGCTCAACCTTTCTTATCGCATGTCTCCAGTTATTCATTCACATATTGTCATATAGCTGAATATATTGCAGCGCAGTCCACCGCTGCTCCCTTCAAGTTATACGCCATCTATCATGATGTTGTTATCCCTACTAATTTAGGCTCATTATTACCAGAAGGCTGGGATACCTCAGAAATGGGGTGATGACAAGTGTTGACAAACCCTATGCCTTTGCTTTAAACTTCGAATACGTTTCACTGACGTCCGGAGAACACAGCTCCGCCAAGGCCAGAAAATGGTCCGACCGAACGGCTACGACAAATCTCGGCTGCCATTACTTAGCCGCCTTCTAATTAAGTCCCCCGCGCCGAGTAAGTCGAATCTACTACACACGTCAGAGTATTTTCTGTTCCTGGTTATTTCCGCAGGAAAACTAGGCCGGCGCATCTGGAAACGCGGGGACTTCTCAATGCATCCAGGCGCTCTCTGGGCGTCTCTGGAGTTCCCAAATAGTCCACCATTGCCTGGGAGCAAATCCTGGTTCACTGATGCAAAGCAGTATGGTCGACTGTTAGGCGATGCAACACTGCAAGTCGACTATCTAGATTCTTCTCAGTCATATATTCCATCCCATTTGTGGCGGTGTGCTTCGACTGGTAATATATCAACCCACTGCATCGATGGCCCGCGCACATTTCTTTAATTTTACACTGCTTGTGCTGTTCATGCTCCAATAACCTGTCAAGAAACAGACAGTGAGTTAAAGCCATTCCTCTATCAATCGGCTTGCTCATATATGTCGATTATACCCCGTCGCGTTGTCCTACACCCCGATTGTGCCTTGCAGCATATTACTATCCAGAGATCTGATATCTATAAGCTCGCTTCTGAAGACCCCTATCCCCGTCGCGTAAGGTTGGTATTCCATACCCGATCGGAGTTTTGGAAGCGCACCAGGTCCCCAGCCGAACCGGAAGCATTCGAACCTTATAGCCGCGAATACAGCTACTTATGTATGGTCCCGAGTTTACATCTTGGAACAACGACAAGTTATGGTTCCACAATTTTGTTGGCGTTCTTGGTTTGACAGTTTTTGGTGGTCGCAACAAGTTTGACTCACCTCACCACGTTAGGCAAATACAAGAGGGTGGATCGCAATGCTTACGCCTCCCAAACCATTCCCCTTGCCCTGCTATCGCGCAAGCTGACCCGGGGCTCCCATGGGAACAAAAACCATGATGAGCCACAACGGACCCCGCTTCTATGTTACTTCCGTGCCATATGCATGGCCTCCAGACATCTGGGGCTCAAACCTTGTTACTGTATGGACCCCAGTGGACACCGTTGCAGCTGGGTATAGAGTTCATTGTACGTGGGTAACGGAAACGCCTGTTTGCCAGTGCTGTGACATATCAGATCTATGGATAGAGCCAAATTTTAAGGTTCAATCTCCCTACTTATCCGGGAGCTTCACTTACACTGACGCTTCACAAGACTGCCCGACTCGTCGTCTCTGAGCTGTTCCCCCCGTTACCTAGCCCCCCTCCCTGTCTCTTTCTCCATGGGTACTCATTCTGGCCCTGAGTACGGTTCAGTTACAGCCTCTCGATGCAGGCGCTTGGACGCAGGCGCTTCAGAATATTTAACCCGTCGGAATATGTGTATTTGTTTTGCTATCCGGCTAGCCTGGGTCAACATACGTCAATTCGCCACCCCCTTCGCCACCCTCTTTTTCACCCCTCCACGACCACGTCTCGCGGTTATACTCCCTCCCCCCTCACATTCTAGTGATCTAGTGAGAAAAACTGGATAAATCACTATCGTACTCGTGCCTGCCCGATGCCTTCGCTATCCGCGTCCGCAAGTAGTCCCCAATATGACGGTTGGTTTGACTTAGCTGCCAAATCCCTACACCCCATGTCACCCCTGGTCCAAGATCCGATTACGTATCGTCCTCCAGAACGATTGGCTCATCGACAACAAAGTGAAAACGAGCGTCACCAGCATCGTCTAACAGACCACGTGCACCCGCACTGTTCTCTCATGCCTTCAACCCCCCGAAGCCTCTCGTCCTCTCTCTGTTCACTAGATCCCAGATTCCCGCCATCTCCCCTACATACCCTGCCACAACAAGAAGCTTTGATCCGCATACCCAACCCTTCATACTTCCACTGCAAACGCATCGACAATGCTAGAAACCCAGAGTCCGCGTACGGAGAAGCGGGTGGCGATGGTTGTGGTTGTGATGTCGCTTCCCCCACCTCAGGTGTGCACATACCGTTTCAATTGCTCATACATTGACATGCTGAACGCATTCAAGGCGTCGCTCCCAGTGCGAGCCTCGGTCTTCGGATAGTCGTGAATACATCATGTCATCCACATTCCAGTGGACATGATGATCAAACCCTGTCGTCTAGTCACCTTGCTGTACATAGCACCTCCCGCGAAGCAGAGAGTCCTCACTCTCTATCCAGCATATCACCTGCCAGCACCCCCTTTGATAGTCAACTTCAAGATGCCTACGGTGTCGAGTCTGAGGGAGACCACAGCCCTATGCATTGGAGAGAATATGGCCTGGACCTCTTTGCATGGGCGGACGGTAGTTGGGACCACCTCTTGCCGTCCATCACAGCGCAGGAAGATGGCGTTCAACCTGGTCTCTCCCCTACTTCCTTTGCCAGTTCTACTCAGGCACCACTCAGCTCTCCGCCGCATCCCAACCATGTCACCGTCCAGCACGTGCACACTGACACTCTGAAGCATATTATCTTCGAAGATAAATCGCTGCCCGAGACCGTTCTGAACCAACTATTTCCACCTTCGTCGCGCCGTGTCACTCGACCTTCTTCTGGCAGGGGTACGCCAGGTAGAATGTGGATATGCCAGTTGCCTGGCTGTGGGAGATCCGTCAGGAGGCAAGAGCGTGTGGCGCATGCATTGCAACATCGTGGTAAAAATCGGTTTACTTGCAGCTGGTGAGTCGTTTAGTGGTAGGATGGAATGGGCACTGTTGATATACATCCCCTCACATGCAGCGGGGGCTCTTTTGCCCGCTCTCAGGACAAAAAGAGACATCTCAGGGAACAGAAAATCTGTGCTAATTGGCATGTCCATCTATCCATGTTGCGTGGTTATGTTTGACTAATTTCCTTGCAGTACACGCCCTGTTGGGAGAAACGGTGCGAATGGCTGCTGTTTCATGTGCATCCAACTGTGAGCAGGTGAACACATTCGATCGATGGAGACTAGTCATTGGGTGAGATTATTGATGTACACTACTGTTGATATACCTGGTGCTGAAACGCATATACCAAGAATGGCTGCCGATGGCGGCCAGAAATGTATCCACCTTTGGAGATTCAGAGGCAATTTCACACAACATATAGCATTGACGGTGGACATCCACCAGTGGTGTATTTGTACATGTACAATAATTGATAGGACGTACTTGTCATCATTTCGTAAGTTGTGAGCGCGGATCTCCAAGACGGTGGCGTCTAATCCTCTCTGGCACGCGAGTAACTGTAACTTTAAACATTAAAGCTTAAAGTTTAACACTGGAGAGGAAGGCCTAAATTCTCCAATCAAAAAGAGTAGAAGACATGGATGTGATATAACCAGCACTCCTTGATATACTCCAGCACTTTTGCTCTTTCAGTATCCAATCCGACCACATCTACTCAGAAACGTAGCTTCTGCCGCAGTTACGGTGGTCTCGTCCATCGCCAACCCCGTCGCCTCTCTTTCCTAGACTGGTTCGATATCCTTCGCAACGGCCGACGCCTGATAAAAGTCAGCGGGACTCTATAAGGCCTGCATGCGATGCAAATCTTGGTCTGTCCTGGGCGAGCCCTCCAACCGGTATTCATGACAGGAACTGTCAGTGTTCGCAGTATTTCCTACGACCGCCTCCCAAGGGTCGGGAAGAGTGCACGACTCATGCACCTGAAGTGTGTCGAGGTTCTGTCGTGTGATCAGTACTTGCACCACGTGACAAGGAACGACACAAGCAAGGGCTCAACTGGTAAATGGTGGGAAAGCCGCAGGCACCAGGGACTATTCCAGACAGCAAGGGGGCTGCGAGTATCGGCCCTTACTCTAGTGTCGACTACCTGCTCCTGGGGCAATGTCCAAACCTGTTTACCCCTGCTAACTTTGCTTCAAGTTTCGAGGCTCCCTCACAGGCAAAGGCGGAGCGAGCTAGAAGTATACTACTTGCATTGATTGTGAGCAAAAAGGTCTCGCCGCGGTAGGTAAGATTATATATATTATGTGATCGCGGCATTGAAAAAATGCATGGCCAAAGTGGGGGTCGAACCCAAGACCTTCGAGTACCAGATGTATTAGACCTATTAGCTCGACGCTCTAACCAACTGAGCTATTCGGCCTTGAATCAATGTCGCTCCCAAATATATATCATTTTCTAAGAAGCGCTGCTTGTATTGATTGATAAGGGAAGTTGAGTTGTTATTTTTCTACAAATTACATGTTATTATCATATATGTCCTAAAGTCTCCACTTGCAGTGCTTCTTTGGGCGCGTGACTGATCCATCGGCCCGCTAGTACTGAGAAGAAGTGAGCATGAAATCGAGTTACCACTCTGAATAGACACTCACACAACGATGGGCCTGTATGCTGCACATCAAACTGTAGGTACGGGACAAGTGAGATACGTTAAGGGAAAGTAAAAGCCGATCATACATTGACATGTTGGTTAGTATTGTGAAGGAACAGAAGACTCCCATGTAGCATCTCTAATTGAACATTTTTCTGAGGCTCCCCTTGCTTGCGGATGTAAACAGTGAGGGTTAACGGCGCGCCTGTTGATAAAAAGAGTGTATAGCCTGGTTTCCTTTCTTGGCCCTATGGATACAAAGTCAGCCGGAATTGATTTATCGGCGGCTCACTGGCCTTCGTCGAACCCTTGCAACGCCATGCTATGCATTGAAGTTCTGTGAGTTCTCTGGCATAGCTGAGGACATCCACAGCCAGGCCGAACCGACATGTAACGAGACCCTCTAAGAAACACCAGACCTCCTGTGCAGCTCTGGGAGCTGCTACAAATGCTTTTCGAGACTCTATATGGTACGATAAATATGAGACTTTTGGCCCTTGATCACCCCACAAGTTACTTATCAATACATAACCACACGATATGCAGTACATACCCAAGTCAGTTAACCGGAAGTCCACATGAGCTTGAAGGTTCTCGAGTACGGTATTTGCCTGAGCAAGCAAGTGATCATGTTCGGACGATGGAATGTGTTGTAAAACAATTCCGGTGCATTGGAACTTGTATGTGATGTATTCCTCTCCCTTTGGGCCTGCGGAGACGGTATGTTTGAGATACCCATGAGGATCCGGGATCGGGAGTGGCGGTGGTAGGTTGCGATCACAGAGGTGCACAGATAACCGATTTTTATACCCTGATGATGCGAGAACCTGCCCATATCGTGTCATCAGCGGGCACACACGTCAGTAGGTGAACATACGCCACAGTTAGAACATGACCAGGACCAGCCACTCCTGAAAACATCCACCATGTTGAGCTTGCCGCACTCTGTACAATGCCAGGCTGGTGTCAAACTATCATCCTCATCCTCAAATTCTTCATCCGAACAGTCACCAATATTCTTGGCTGGTTCACTGCGAGGAGTAACGGTTGGGTATGAGGGGATGCCAGGAAACGAAAAAGCAGAACGTTTGTTGGTAGCCATTTCTAGTTGCTCGTACACCCCTGCAGGTAGCAATGATTGCCACCACGGATGTGAAGTTGCATCACCATCTATAGATTTGCCGTTGTGTCGCCATTCGAGTGTTAGCTTGAGGGAAACTGTGTCGACAGTATTAACTGACGACGGCACAACCGTCTACGTACGTGAGCCAGGCGACACTGTGGAAATAAATACGTTATCTAACTTACCTCAAACTTTACAATAACGAAAAATCCCAGAAATGCATAAGCACATGATTGTACAAGAGGAAACGGAAGCAGCGAAAAATCCCTGGCGACAAGTACACGAATTTGTTCCTCGGTTTCGAGAGCGGTGCGAAAGAGCTCAGCTTCGACAGGAAGTTCGTTCAATTTGATGGGCTACACCAAATTGAGGAGTCAGGCGAAACAGAAAGCAAGAGTGCGCACTTTCTCTTCGCTGCCAGGCGTGTTCACATTGCCAATAGCATCCACGGGAACAGAACCACAAATGTCGTCAGCACCAGAGTTACTAGGAGTACCATCTAGAGACATATCCGAATCCGATATAGCCGATGAGGGGTCCAACCCGTCCTCCAATCTCCCCGAGCCCTCCAAGACGGCATTCTCATTGTCGGGAGGATCGTGACGCAGAGATGTACAATGCCGCTGATCGATGGAAACGTTGGGATCCCAATCAGCATCAGCTAACATCTCTGAAGAATCTACAGTACCATAAGTGGCAATATAAGTATATTTAGAAAGGGATGTGGCATTGGAAGCTGTACCGGAGCTGTCATCTGACACGTCGGCGTCCATATCATGCTCGAGATGGTCTGCCATGGGAGAGCGGGGGGGACAGCCGAGTTGGCAGAGCCGGCACTCATCTTGGCGCTCTTGGTGAGGACATAAAGTAAGCTCGAGACAGTCTGAGTGTAGAGGCGAATGTGTAGTGCTCTGCAGCAAATCACTGTGAAGCGGCTGAGGATTACACATGTCTTGCTCCACACGTGGGCTATTAGTGACTGTACCCTTCTCTTCAGTGGAGACCTTTTCCGCTGTGGGTGTACGAGAAAGGCGCCATTTGCTGCAATGTAAGTAATCTGCGTCAGTACGGTGTCTGGGCCGAAAACCATGAAAATTTCGTGCCGCGTCAGATTGATAGTTCCACGTCCCACCCAACTATCATCGCTCCATCCCGAACCTTCAAGAATGAAAAAGTCGATAAACCCGCCATAACATCCTAAACCCTGTCGATCCATGATGTCCGGATAGTGCGGTAGGGCGACCAAAAGGTCCGCCTGACTCTAATGCGCAAATTTGAGAAAACATAGATGGTAAAAACACCGGTCACGCACTGCTGCCCATAGTGGAGGGAGAGTCGGCTGCTGAGGATGAGCGGGCGTGCTCTCAAACGCTGACATCTTCGAGTGCCTTTCGTACTTAGGAGGGTGAATGAAGTCCCACCCATGCTCGTCAGGGTTGAGCAGATCTGCACGAGAAAAGGGCTTTAAGGACGATACAGTGGGCATGAACTGTAATAGAAAACAGGACTCACTGTGTTTTGACTTTCCAGATTTTCTTTGTCCGGGATGAACATTACTGGTGGAAACTGCTGATGTTAACTCTTGGTGCTGCACATTGTAAAGTCCAATGTTCGGAAATACTTAGTCCGTGATACTAAATGATCAACGATGTCATACGTACTTCACATGGAAATTAAGTCAATAAGGAGTGCTTCACAAGACCAGAAAAAATTATATTCACCAGACGCATTTTTTGGACGGCGCTCAAGTCGCTTCGTACGCGCAGTCTTTGCCGATACTCCGGGGTTCATCTCTGTTAGACCTTTTGAGGACAGAACCTTTCCTCGTTCCTGTTTAGGCCCAGGCAACGGCACATAACCTTGATCGCTAACATGACATTTCTTCTTTGATCGAACACATCTTGTGCACCCTGGCCAGGCGCGATCGCACGCTTGTACAGCTTTTCTGCAGCCGTCACAGCGTTTAGACACAACGTATTTGTCTTCCGACGGTAAATAGAAGATATATTTGGCAGAAATCCGCTTGTCGTATCTTTCGGGAAGCTTCGATGGACGGACGATGGACGGGTCCCAGGCGACAGCGAAGGATGGGAGAGGTAGAAGTGATATTGCAGCTAAATCCTCCTGGTCTTCGGAATTTGGATACAACTCCATGCTGTCGTCCAGAAGTCCTCGCTCTGGCCGACTCGTTCTCACACACCAAGAGCTGTGAATGATGTATGATGTGGCACGTCGGAGTCTGACTTGACACCAATTATAAACCTTGCTGCAAACAATAACTAGTTACTTATGTAAACATGTCCGCACCGCGATCCCCAACGAAGGACGAACGAATCATGCTCATGACAGCTGCACTGGAAGGTAAAAGTTACATGTATTCCCTCTTGGAGCGGGGCCTGAGCTAGATATCTCACATCCTTTCGTCAAGCTCGAGAAGCGGCATATAGCCCCTATTCTAAATTTCGTGTCGGTGCAGCGCTGCTTAGTGACAACGGAGAGATCATCAAGGGAGCCAACGTGGAAAATGCCTCATACGGTTGAATCATTTCATACACAACCTGACCCAATTATTCATGCTTGCGCGGTTACCACGTAGGAGCCGGGATCTGTGCTGAGAGGACTGCTATAGTAAAAGCTGTGGTATGTAGATTTAGTAATGCATTCACAGATCTCACAGCACTGATATTGTGTCGAACCAGAGCGAGGGTGTTAAGTCATATATTGCATTGGCAGTGACGAGGTACTCTGATGATATCGCGGGTCATTCTCCCGTTTTATTCAACGACGTTGCAGTGATGTCCATGGACCAGTAGCGCCCTGTGGAATCTGCAGACAAGTTATACGCGAATTTTGCGCATTGGAAATGCCCATTCTGCTTGTGCATGGAAATTGGACAAGAAATTTTCCTGATCGAGTCAAACAACTGACCCTAGAAGAACTGCTGCCGTACAGTTTCGGACCGGAGGATTTGGAGCGACCGAGAAGTTGATACTCTGATGTGTATCCGGAGTACATGATATCTCTAAGTGACTGCTTGCACCAAACGTATGCGGATCATGTCAGCTAGTGTATCTTAAACGTACAGTGATACTCACCAACACCCTATTTCTCATTCAAAGGCCTAACTCGTGAATCATCTGCCAATGCAGCCTTTAACTTGTGAAGTTGGGTAGTGATTGTAGTATCTCCGCCCTTCATATCCATTCTGTCTGCGTAGTCGGCCAAAAATGCATCCAGATAAGCCTGTTCCACTTTGGGAGCAACGCTCACGCTTGAGGTCGTCGATATTCTGAGTGGTGGGTGAAGTGTGTCGGACATGAAATTTTAAAGAATGCTAGCTCGGGCCGTCTCCAAGTATACATGTATGTACCCCGTGGAAATTTGCGGCCACAGCCGGCGTTGGAAAAGTGGTCTGAGGAGACTTGCCAATCTCCAGCCACGACCACCATGAAGCTTTCCACCGCGTTGCAGATGCTCCGGCTCTTGTTTACACATCCAGAGGAGCTCAGGTCACTTATTACCTTCTATTTATGGCATGAACAGAAAAGGGACCTGGCTGCACAACATGAACACCCAACGTCCGGCTGGGATCGAGCTTCCATGCGGAAATGTTGGGAATACCTAACTTTAACTAGTCGGAGTTTCTCAG